ATGATCTCCATGTATAATTACATTAGGGGGGATATGATCTCCATGTATAATACATAAGGGGGGGATATGATCTCCATGTATAATACATAAGGGGGATATGATCTCTCATGTATAATACATAAGGGGGGATATGATCTCCATGTATAATACTAAGGGGGGATATGATCTCCATGTATAATACATAAGGGTAAGGGGGGGATATAGATCTCCATGTATAATACATAAGGGGGGGATATGATCTCCATGTATAATACATAAGGGGGATATGATCTCCATGTATAATACATAAGGGGGGATATGATCTCCATGTATAATACATAAGGGGGGATATGATCTCCATGTATAATATTCATAAGGGGGGATATGATCTCCAGTGTATAATACATAAGGGGGGATATGATCTCCATGTATAATAATAAGGGGGGATATGATCACTCTCCATGTATAATACATAAGGGGGGGATATGATCTCCATGTATAATACATAAGGGGGGATATGATCTCCATGTATAATACATAAGGGGGGATATGATCTCCATGTATAATACATAAGGGGGGATATGATCTCCATGTATAATACATAAGGGGGGGGATATGATCTCCATGTATAATTACAATAAGGGGGGATATGATCTCCATGTATAATACATAAGGGGGGGATATGATCTCCATGTATAATACTAAGAGGGGGGTTATGATTACATGTATAATACATAAGGGGGGGATATATGATCTCCATGTATAATACATAAGGGGGGGATATGATCTCCATGTATAAATACATAAGGGGGATATGATCTCCATGTATAATACATAAGGGGGGATTTGATCTCCATGTATAATAGGGGGGGGATATGATCTCCATGTATTAATACATAAGGGGGGGGATATGATCTCCATGTATAATACATAAGGGGGGATATGATCTCCATGTATAATACATAAGGGGGGATATGATCTCCATGTATAATACATAAGGGGGGGGGATATGATCTCCATGTATAATACATAAGGGGGGATATGATCTCCATGTATAATACATAAGGGGGGATATGATCTCCATGTATAATACATAAGGGGGGATATTGATCTCCATGTATAAATACATAAGGGGGGATATGATCTCCATGTATAATACATAAGGGGGGATATGATCTTCCATGTATAATACATAAGGGGGGATATGATCTCCATGTATAATACATAAGGGGGGATATGATCTCCATGTATAATACATAAGGGGGGGATATGATCTCCATGTATAATACATAAGGGGGGGATATGAATTCTCCATGTATAATACATAAGGGGGGATATGATCTCCATTAATACATAAGGGGGGGTATGATCTCCATGTATAATACATAAGGGGGGATATGATCTCCATGTAAATACATAAGGGGGGGATATGATCTCCATGTATAATACATAAGGGGGGATATGATCTCCATGTATAATACATAGGGGGGGATATGATCTCCATGTATAATACATAAGGGGGGATATGATCTCCATGTATAATACATAAGGGGGGATATGATCTCCATGTATAATACATAAGGGGGGATATGATCTCCATGTATAATACATAGGGGGGATATGATCTCCATGTATAATACATAAGGGGGGGGATATGATCTCCATGTATAATACATAAGGGGGGGATATGATCTCCATGTATAATAATATAAGGGGGGGATATGATCTCCATGTATAATACATAAGGGGGGGATATGATCTCCATGTATAATACATAAGGGGGGATATGATCTCCATGTATAATACATAAGGGGGATATGATCTCCATGTATAATACATAAGGGGGGATATGATCTCCATGTATAATACATAAAGGGGGGATATGATCTCCATGTATAATACATAAGGGGGGATATGATCTCCATGTATAATACATAAGGGGGGGATATGATCTCCATGTATAATACATAAGGGGGGGGGGATATGATCTCCATGTATAATACATAGGGGGGGGATATGATCTCCATGTATAATACATAAGGGGGATATGATCTCCATGTATAATACATAAGGGGGGATATGATCTCCATGTATAATACATAAGGGGGGGGGATATGATCTCCATGTATAATACATAAGGGGGGATATGATCTCCATGTATAATACATAAGGGGGGATATGATCTCCATGTATAATACATAGGGGGGGGATATGATCTCCATGTATAATACATAAGGGGGATATGATCTCCATGTATAATACATAAGGGGGGGATATGATCTCCATGTATAATACATAGGGGGGGGGATATGATCTCCATGTATAATACATAAGGGGGGATATGATCTCCATGTATAATACATAAGGGGGGATATGATCTCCATGTATAATACATAAGGGGGGATATGATCTCCATGTATAATACATAAGGGGGGATATGATCTCCATGTATAATACATAAGGGGGGATATGATCTCCATGCATAATACATAAGGGGGGGGGATATGATCTCCATGTATAATACATAATGGGGGGGGATATGATCTCCATGTATAATACATAGGGGGGATATGATCTCCATGTATAAATACATAAGGGGGGATATGATCTCCATGTATAATACATAAGGGGAGGGGATATGATCTCCATGTATAATACATACTGGGGGGATATGATCTCCATGTATAATACATAAGGGGGGGGATATGATCTCCATGTATAATACATAAGGGGGGGATATGATCTCCATGTATAATACATAAGGGGGGATATGATCTCCATGTATAATACATAAGGGGGGGATATGATCTCCATGTAAATACATAAGGGGGGATATGATCTCCATGTATAATACATAAGGGGGGGATATGATCTCCATGTATAATACATAAGGGGGGGGTATGATCTCCATGTATAATACATAAGGGGAGGGGATATGATCTCCATGTATAATACATAAGGGGGGGGATATGATCTCCATGTATAATACATAAGGGGGGATATGATCTCCATGCATAATACATAAGGGGGGGATATGATCTCCATGCATAATACATAAGGGGAGGGGATATGATCTCCATGCATAATACATAAGGGGGGATATGATCTCCATGCATAATACATAAGGGGGGGATATGATCTCCATGTATAATACATAAGGGGGGGATATGATCTCCATGTATAATACATAAGGGGGGATATGATCTCCATGTATAATACATAAGGGGGGGATATGATCTCCATGTATAATACATAAGGGGGGATATGATCTCCATGCATAATACATAAGGGGGGGGATATGATCTCCATGCATAATACATAAGGGGGGATATGATCTCCATGCATTAATACATAAGGGGGGTATGATCTCCATGTATAATACATAAGGGGGGATATGATCTCCATGTATAATACTTAAGGGGGGATATGATCTCCATGTATAATACATAAGGGGGGATATGATCTCCATGTATAATACATAAGGGGGGATATGATCTCCATGTATAATACATAAGGGGGGGTATGATCTCCATGTATAATACATATAAGGGGGGGTATGATCTCCATGTATAATACATAAGGGGAGGGGATATGATCTCCATGCATAATACATAAGGGGGGGATATGATCTCCATGCATAATACATAAGGGGGGATATGATCTCCATGTATATACATAAGGGGGGATATGATCTCCATGCATAATACATAAGGGGGGGATATGATCTCCATGCATAATACATAAGGGGGGATATGATCTCCATGTATAATACATAAGGGGGAGGGATATGATCTCCATGTATAATACATAAGGGGGGGATATGATCTCCATGTATAATACATAAGGGTGATATGATCTCCATGTATAATACATAAGGGGGGGATATGATCTCCATGTATAATACATAAGGGGGATATGATCTCCATGTATAATACATAAGGGGGATATGATCTCCATGTATAATACATAAGGGGGATATAATCTCCATGTATAATACATAAGGGGGGGATATGATCTCCATGTATAATACATAAGGGTGATATGATCTCCATGTATAATACATAAGGGGGGGGATATGATCTCCATGTATAATACATAAGGGGGGACATGATCTCCATGTATAATACATAAGGGGGGATATGATCTCATGTATAATACATAAGGGGGGGATATGATATCCATGTATAATACATAAGGGGGGATATGATCTCCATGTATAATAATACATAAGGGGGGATATGATCTCATGTATAACACATAAGGGGGGGATATGATCTCCATGTATAACACATAAGGGGGGGATATGATCTCCATGTATAATACATAAGGGGGGGTTGCTGTAGATAAGTCCTGGATCCTTTCTTGGATACACAGAATATAACCCGATAGAACATTTATAGGGAAAGGTGATCCGGGGAATATCCGATTGCTCTCGGGGGATCAGGAAGGAATGTTTTCCCTGCAGGAGGAGATCGGATCGTGCTTTGCTGGGATTTTTTTTTTTACCTTCCTCTGGATCATCTGTGGGTGTCGGATTATAACTTTTATGTTTTTTTATGGTTTAACTGAAGACTTTTGTCTTTTTTTCAGTCAGACTAATTATGGAACTGAGTAACCACGGCACAGCTTGGTGTCATCTGCAAAGACTGAGATCCCCGACCCCATATTGTATATTTAGATTACAGAGTACGGGTCCCAACACTGAACCTTGGGGTACCCCACTAATAACACTGAACCCTGGGGTCCCCCCCACTAATAACACTGAACCATGGGGTACCCCACTAATAACACTGAACCCTGGGGTACCCCACTAATAACACTGAACCTTGGGGTCCCCCACTAATAACACTGAACCTTGGGGTACACCACTGACACCCCCAGACCATTCAGAGTATGAATCATTACCCACTACTCTCTGAATACCATCTTTTAGCCAGTTTTCTCCATTTACATTCAGATTCTTCCAGCCTGTAGACTTTACCTTACACATTAGCCGTGTGTGGGGGAACTGTGTCACCCCTCTGTCCAAGTATACCACGTCCACCGCCACCCCCCTGTCCAAGTATACCACGTCCACACCCTCTGTCCAAGTATACCACGTCCACCGCCACCCCTCTGTCCAAGTATACATGTCTACCACCACCCCTCTGTCCAAGTATACCACGTCCACCGCCACCCCATCTGTCCAAGTATACCACGTCCACAGACACCCATCTGTCCAAGTATACCACGTCCACCGCCACCTCTCTGTCCAAGTATACCACGTCCACCGCCCCCCCCCCCCCCCCTCTGTCCAAGTATACCACGTCCACCACCACCCCTCTGTCCAAGTATGCCACGTCCACCGCAACCTCTCCGTCCGAGTATACCACATCCACCGCAACCCCTCTGTCCAAGTTTACCACGTCCACCAACCCCCTCTGTCCAAGTATACCACATCCACCCCTCTGCCCAAGTATACCACGTCCCCCGCCACCCCTCTGTCCAAGTATACCACGTCCACCACCACCCCTCTGTCCAAGTATACCACGTCCACCCCTCTGTCCAAGTATACCACGTCCCCCGCCACCCCTCTGTCCAAGTATACCACGTCCACCGCCACCCCTCTGTCCAAGTACACTACGTTCTGTTGTTTACAATATTTGTTTCCAGCAAGAACTCCTCTCTGTGGTCTTTTATTAAACTCTCCAGTATCTTCCCAACTATAGAAGTTACATGATTGCTTGAGAGGTTTCTTTTCCGTTGCTGAATCAGGCACCTCAGGAGTGAAACCTCTAATGTAGTAAGTGAAGGGAGACTTCTGATGCAGGTAGGAGTGGGACCTCCCACCAGCCAGGATCTGTCCACATTGCATAGAGAAGCACAGAGGCCCAGTGATGATGTCAATGGGGCTAAAACAAGGCATACAGGTTGTATGTAGTAAAGTCTTTATATTGATGAACGGTAGCCAAGGAAGGCAAATGTATTACTAAAAACCTCCATATATCGTGTGACTCGCAATTCCAAATAGCACTTTATCGATGTTCTGTTGTTTGTCGGACCCCTTAACCCGTCATCTCCCCCTTCAGCTGCTGACTCCGTGTCTTGTTTCCTCCATAAAGGTCCCTGGGAGTGGCACTGTGGGAGCTCTTCGAGTTGGGCCGCCAGCCCTACGACACGTATTCCGACCGCCAGGTCCTCAGCTATGTCATCAAGGAACAGCAACTCAAACTACCGAAGCCACAGCTCAAGCAACTGCAGTCGGATCGCTGGTAAGAGACGCACAATGATGGCGAAATTGTGGGGTCCCCCATACAGTATGCCTGGTGGGGTCCCCCATACAGTATGCCTGGCGGGGTCCCCCATACAGAATGCCTGGCTGGGTCCCCCATACAGAATGCCTGGCTGGGTCCCTCCATACATTGTGCTTGGCCGGGTCCCCCCAGACTGTATGCCTGGCAGGATCCCCCCTACAGTGTGCCTGGTGGGGTCCCCCCCTATACAATATGCTTGGCAGGGTCCCCCCATACAGTATTTCTGGTCGGTTCCCCACATACCATATGCCTGGTGGAATCCCCTCCATACCGTATGCTTGGCGGGGTCCCCCCCCGTACAGTTTGCCTGGTGGGGTCCCCCATACAGTATGCCTGGCGGGGTCCCCCCGTACAGTTTGCCTGGTGGGGTCCCCCATACAGTATGCCTGGTGGGGTCCCCCCGTACAGTTTGCCTGGCGGGGTCCCCCATACAGTATGCCTGGCGGGGTCCCCCCGTACAGTTTGCCTGGCGGGTCCCCCCGTACAGTATGCCTGGCGGGTCCCCCCGTACAGTTTGCCTGGCGGGGTCCCCCATACAGTATGCCTGGCGGGGTCCCCCATACAGTATGCCTGGCGGGGTCCCCCCGTACAGTTTGCCTGGCGGGGTCCCCCATACAGTATGCCTGGCGGGTCCCCCCGTACAGTTTGCCTGGCGGGGTCCCCCATACAGTATGCCTGGCGGGGTCCCCCATACAGTATGCCTGGCGGGGTCCCCCCGTACAGTTTGCCTGGCGGGGTCCCCCATACAGTATGCCTGGCGGGTCCCCCCGTACAGTTTGCCTGGCGGGGTCCCCCATACAGTATGCCTGGCGGGGTCCCCCATACAGTATGCCTGGCGGGGTCCCCCCGTACAGCCCGCCCCATCAGATTTACATAGAAGAGGCTGAGCTTTCTTTTCATTGTCTGGAGCCGAAGACGGGGAATTATTCCATCAGCACCTGAAAATGAGTAAAAAGTCCCCTCTGTGTCCCTGGCCCCTGCTGCTGAACTGATGGGGCCCGGGAACCTTTACGTAATCACTGGGGGCCACGGGCCTATGGGATTTCTGTGCATGTGCCCAACAGTATTTAACCTTTTTCCGCCCTCATAACTCATACGTGGATGGGCTTTAGTGGCCACATATCACATATACGCGGCACTGGGCGGCTGATGTTTCTGTGCTGAGAGCGCCCACTGCATGCGCCTGGAACAGAAACTGAGCTGTCATAGACAGGTCTCAGTCCCCACTGACTATCATTAGCCACTGGGACCGGCTTCTGATCATGTGACCACTGTGACAGCCAATCACAGTCATCACTTGACCCCGATCCTTCCCGCCCCTGGCGTACAGACCCTATTAAAGGGTGTGTACATACTTCCCCAGTATTGCATTGTTGCTGGCGTCTTTGGGGAATCCATTGATGATGTCACCCCTACAGAATTCCCAGCTCTACCCAACTGCCGTAGTTAGCCAAATGATGGTGTCACCCTCACCCAGTGGAATCTCTAAGTTGTAGGTTGCATAATGGGGGAGACCTATCTGTGTGAGTGACACCAACACTGGGGGAGGGGAGCAGATCTGCCTCAGGGAAATCCCACCATTGCATTATAGAGAGGCCATTAGACTACTATGACATCATTAGATGATATGTATGAACATGGTGTACAGGAAAGTGTTCTTCTGGGATGGTAAGGTCAGTTTCAAAGGCTGAGAAACACGGTATGCACCCAACAGGGAAAACACGAACACGCAGTGAGCATATCATCATGGAAACTTGTAGTCACCAGGGAAATTAGCAGCATGCGGTAGGCATGGATGTGTCACTAGAGGACGGACCTATCCTATTAGGCACTATAGAAACTGGCAGACCTCAGTCAACGTTCTTCCAGATCCACGTCCAAGAATGATGCGGAGTCTCCGATTCTGATAAATAACAGATGTACTCCAAATGTTCAGAGATCTCCCAAAGGATCGGTCCACCCAAATGGGATGGGGATTTCTGGGCTTGGCCACCCAACAGCTGAGGGGGAATCCAATGGTGACAGAGATGGAGTTCTTTGATCTCTTTCTGCTCCCTGAGACAATCTGGGCCTTCTGCCCCCAATGGACCATTGACATGTCTTCTGCCGCCCTCTCCATAATGGTCCAGGAGGAGAGGAGTCCCATTCTAATGGCCATGGAATAATTGGAAAGAAGGAGCGCCCGATGTCCACAAGAATGCAAGTTTGATGGTAGATTGGAAGGCATTTACTGAGAGTAGTGACAAGTACATCAAGCCGACGCGGTTCGAGAGAGAAGGCTTTCCCTTCTTCAGGGCTGGTGCTGCACGTTATTGATATCTCACGCCAGTTATACATTTGGGAAGTTCCACTCATAGCTGTCCCTGCAACCTCAGGTGTCACATTGTCAGTCCTTCGTCTGGAATCTCACAAATATATAATCGGCATGACAATCATTCCCAATTAATAACGTTCAGCAACAGCCCTGAAGAAGGGAGAGTCCGTTGTCCCGAAACGCATTGACTTGATGTACTTGTCGCTACTCTCAATAAACGCCTCTTAATATACCTTCAAACTTGCATTCTTTTGGATACTGGGCCGCTCGTTCTACATGTGGAGACGACCTTAAGGTAGTACCAGAAAGGCAGAAATCCAAGTCCTAAGAGGGCTGATCGTCAGTATTCATCATTGGGTACAACCTACTGGAGGGACATCTCTCCACTTAGCCACACAATGGCCCACCCATGACCAGTGATGGATCCAGGCAGTCCAGCGTGGTCTTCAGCACAGACAGGATCATTCTACTGGCCATGACACATCTCAGCGTGGAGGTTGATTGACGACTTAAGAAACCATTAGTCGGTTCAGTTTCCCACAGAGACATTGTAGCCCCACTTGGATATAAAGTACATCGCACAGACCCTGATGAGCCAGCGTAGAGTATATTGCTTGTCCCTGGCTGTCCAATTAGCATGGTCTCATGTACAGTATTCAGCTCTAATTGGCCGTTTTGTCATAAACTGAACAACCCCTTTTCCAAAAGTCAGTAGTACCTTGCCTAGCCTCTGGTGATCCGCCATATACTATGCTATCCAGACTCGGGTCATATTGTCTATATAAACTGGTCGATGGGAACCTAAATGACATTTACTTTGCTTAAACAGTTGCCATTTTTATTGAACATCTTTTTTCATTGGTTCTGACATCTCAGCCATGCTAATCTCCTGTGTCCTTTTTGCGGCCACTTTGTCTACATGGACTCCAGCAAAGTCTACATGGCACTTCTTGAGGCTGGTTTTCTGATGGGTACAACCGTGGTCCTTGTCTGTCTATTATGTGTTGAAAAGACCACTTGTAGCCCCCATTGGCAGCCCGTAAGACAGGGCGACAGTACAGTTGGGAGGCACTTGTCACCTTATAACAGGAATCGGCTGGATTGACGGGAATGATTTTACTGAAAGCTGCGGATTTAAAAATTGTGCAAAATTTATGTGAGTAGCCATCAATGGCCAAGTATTCCGAATATTGGCCAATCCGTAGTGGTGCTTTGCTGTTCAGCGTAGAGGATATTGCCCCACCGTCTGCAGGGCGCGGGTTAGCAGTCTGTTACTTTGCTGCTGGAAGCCACAGTAAAAGGAGGACCATTATAGGATTAGGATTATGTAGGAGGAGACCCTGCTCATTATTGTACCCACCCAGCCTATCTAGCCTTGAAGGCAACATTTCACTAGCATTACCAACGCTTTGATTGAACCCGCACTCCATATTCAAAGTCTTTAAATAAAAGTCTTGTCAATGTGCAGGTACCACAAGATGTCTCCTATTGCTTTTATTTGCCGAAAAAGCTTCTTCTGTGCCACTCTCTGATTTCATTTCACTTTGTTCATGGGGCTTGACTTCATGGCTAAACCCTATCAACTGTCCTGTCCATTGGGACTTCCTTGGTAACTAATAAATTCACTCTCATGTGACAGGGAGATGGTAGTTGGTGGAACACAGTCATTAACCATCTCGATTGTTGGGTCCCTATAACAAAGTGAAACTCATAGAGGTGCCCAGAAAAGGATTCTGACCTTTAAACTTTTGTACAGGTTTACTTTTGGGTACAACAGGAAAAAAATGCTTCATTAAATTCCTGATCAATGTCATGCTCATGTTTTTTGTGTTTTCTCTTAGGTACGAGGTGATGCAGTTTTGCTGGCTGCAGCCTGAGCAGAGACCAACAGTGGAAGAGGTCCATCTACTTCTTTCCTACCTGAGTGTGAAGGGATCTGGCGAGCTGGAGGAAGAGTTTGAGAAGCGTTGGAACTCTATGAAACCCAATGGTGGAACAGATGGTGGGCCTCACCATGAGCCTGAGCTGTCTTCTTACCCTCTACTAGAGCACTTTTCTTCGGATGGGTTCCACTCAGATGGAGATGATGTGCTAACAGTGACTCAGACCAGCCAAGGGCTTAACTTTGAATACAAATGGGAACGTGGGCGACATGAGCAATATCCACTGAGCCCCCCGGGTGCCAGCCTTACCAAGATATGTACTATACAACCAGTGCCAGTGACAGACTCAGTCTCGGCGTGTCACCATCTGGCTACGATGACAAGGAATGCAACCCAAACTCCCGCCCGCTCGAGCTGGTACCTGTTCTGAGTGCTCGTAGCCCTTCAGTGGCAGGAGACTACTATATTCGTATTGAAGAGCCTTTGGGGAGCAACGTCGAGCAGGACTACAGCCCACAGCATGAAGAGCACAGTGTAAAACAAAAGCAAGAACTTTCGACAGAGGACCAACCATGTGGAGATAGTCCTTCCATAAGCCTGTCCATGGAGGCTCTACTGGAAGTTGTCTGTTCTGCCAGGGATGATAGCCCAGTCAACCAGGCCAAAAACCAATGCTCTAGCCCCTCCTATGGAGGCGAGGCAAAAGAGAACACGCTTGACTGTTCAAAAGAGGACAGTAACGACTCAAGTGTATTTGAGGACCCCCTTGGATCCTCTCCATCTTTCAATCAGCTTGGCCAAAACCATCATGGCCCAGATGAAGCAGAAACGATGGCTACACCTAAAAATGAGGACTGTAGTAACACCTCTAGAGACCCTATCGATCTGGCTGCAGTGAAATGTGAAGGTGAGGATGTAGAGGTGGATCTGCTATCAAAGACCTCTTGTCCTGTTGCATTCTCTCCACACTGGGCATCCAACATCTCCTCAAACAATAATGTCTCTAGTGAACCACAAGAGCAGCCTGGCATTTGGTTAAATCCACGCTCGGAGGACTCACAGGATGGTGAGGTTGAACCATATGGCCCTGAATCATGGCAGATTGCAGAGTCTGGGGAGGGGGATAATGTCACCTCTTCAACAACAGTAGAGGATCAGTTTTACGATGCTGAGGAGTTTGCAACGCTTGAGCCTTCGGTCACGGTGGAAACGGTTTTCCGGCAACTCACACCTCCAGTTCTCTTCTCCAGTGTCAGAAGCATCTGATGTTAAATCCTCAACTTTGCAGCCAAATGAAATCATCCATCCTCTAGCATCCCCAGACAGTGAAGAAGTAACCCCTGAACAAGAAATGGATCCTCTCGGTGTTTGTTTTATAGTACATTCTGAACCTCCTACACACTCGGAACCCACACACGACCTTCACATAACAGAGGAGGACATATCTATAGCTGGATCTCAGGGGGCTTCCCTACAAAGCCTATCAGATGAACACTGTAATCTCTCTCTCAGCAAAGACAGCCCCGAGAAAGTGTATTCCAAAGACTTTTACCAAACTCCCAGTGACAGTGATGATGAAGACACCATGGAGCTGACTTCAGGGGTCTTCACAGACCTGTCTAGTGAGAGAGGAGACACAGCCCCACCTTTCAGATCCCTACAGAAACAGGTAGGGACCCCAGATTCATTAGACTCCCTGGACATGCCATCGACCGCTAGCTCTTGCGATGCTTTCAGCCTTGGAACCTATGCACCTTCTGCACAGCATAAAGCACTGGACAGTGGTTATGACACAGAAAATTATGAGTCTCCAGAGTTTGTGTTAAAAGAACCACAAGAGAGCAGGGAGACTGAGGGTTATTACCAGCTGAGTCAACCCCAAGAACAGAGCCTGGAACCTGGAGATATGCCAATGTCCCGCTCGGTCAGCAGTGACTTACAAGGTCTGGATGCCAAGAACCCCTACAGAGACTCTGCATATTTCTCAGACTATGACTCTTTCAATCGAGAGGAAGAGGAGGAAGGAGACCGAGGTGACGAAAGGGAACAGGAAGGAGCCACAAAGACTTCTCACTGTGTAGATCTAAACTTGGAACCCTCAGCACCTAACTTGGTAGAAAGCACTGAGAGCTTAAATGATGACCAAGGACAATGCACAGCCACTGTAGAGACTGCTAAACCTCCTTCACCCCTGCCTTCATGTCCTCCATCAGAAGACTCACTGCTTCAGCTCCCTCTCATCATAAGAGAAGAGTCAGTAGATGAAGGCTTGGGCTTAGAATGTTCTAAAGACTCTTCTCTTGATAAGCAACCCAACACCAGTTCCACCATAAAGTCCGCCTCGCACAGAACCTTCACCCTGTCCCCTGTCCAGCTTTGTCTCACCAAAGCATGCACTGTAAAGCAGGGCTCAGCGGGAAGCATCACTTTGACCACTGGACTTCAGCCAGAAGAGAAACCGACTTCCAACAGGGAATCAATGGGAGCATGCCACCTGCCCAAATGCCTCTCACCTCCTCTTATCCGAAAGGAGGGCAGAGTGGGCGATTCCACAGATGACGATGAAGAGGATGAAGAAAGTGAGGACAGCGATGAATCTGACGAGGAACTCCGCTGCTACAACATCCAGGAGCACAGTGAAGAGAGCGAAGAGGAACATTCCACTGTCCCCATTGTGATCACTGATAACGCCAGCGCTGGTCACTTGCGAAGTCTTCTAAAGACGCCTAACTTCTTGCCCCAGACTGCCTCAGAGGACTGTGATAGGAAGAAGAAGGCCGTATCTTTCTACGATGATGTTACTGTCTATTTATTTGATCAGGTATGTTGGTGTGGAAGTGCCACCTACCTTGTGAGGGGCTTCCTTTAGACAATGATTGATAGAGGAAGGGAGGATTATAACCCGTCACATTATTGTTTCACCATCTGTGTCTCATGGTGGAGATTTCCCTTCACATCCTGTCCCATAACCTAACAGGAAGTGAGAGGAAATCCCTGGGAATTTCATGGGGACCCCCAAGTCACCAGAAATAGTGCCCCCTAGTTTTCCCATCTATTACTTTATTGGGGACAATCCAAAATTTGGGATTTTCTTTTAACTTTCAATGATAATGTTGATGAGGACAAATAGAGAGGGGGAATCTCCCTAACGGGGACACAGACAGCAATAAAAAGCTGACAGGGGGTCTCATCCCTCCCAACTCCATCCAACACTGACAGGGGGTCTCGTCCCTCCCAACTCCATCCAACACTAACAGGGGGTCTCGTCCCTCCCAACTCCATCCAACACTGACAGGGGGTCTCCCCCTCCATCCAACACTGACAGGGGGTCTCGTCCCTCCCAACTCCATCCAACACTGACAGGGGGTCTCATCCCTCCCAACTCCATCCAACACTGACAGGGGGTCTCGTCCCTCCCAACTCCATCCAACACTGACAGGGGGTCTCCCCCTCCATCCAACACTGACAGGGGGTCTCGTCCCCTCCCAACTCCATCCAACACTGACAGGGGGTCTCATCCCTCTCCACTCCATCCAACACTGATGGGGTCTCACCCCTCCCCCTCCATCCAACACTGACAGGGGGTCTCATCCTCCCCCTCCATCCAACACTGACAGGGGGTCTCACCCCTCCATCCAACACTGACAGGGGGTCTCATCTCTCCCCCTCCATCCAACACTGACAGGGGGTCTCATCTCTCCCCCTCCATCCAACACTGATAGGGGGTCTCATCCTCCCCCTCCATCCAACACTGACAGGGGGTCTCACCCCTCCCCCTCCATCCAACACTGACAGGGGGTCTCACCCCTCCCCCTCCATCCAACACTGACAGGGGGTCTCACTCCTCCCCCTCCATCCAACACTGACAGGGGGTCTCGTCCCTCCCAACTCCATCCAACACTGACAGGGGGTCTCATCCCTCCCAACTCCATCCAACACTGACAGGGGGTCTCATCCCTCTCCACTCCATCCAACACTGACGGGGTCTCACCCCTCCCCCTCCATCCAACACTGACAGGGGGTCTCATCCTCCCCCTCCATCCAACACTGACAGGGGGTCTCACCCCTCCATCCAACACTGACAGGGGGTCTCATCTCTCCCCCTCCATCCAACACTGATAGGGGGTCTCATCCTCCCCCTCCATCCAACACTGACAGGAGGTCTCACCCCTCCCCCTCCATCCAACACCGACAGGGGGTCTCACCCCTCCCCCTCCATCCAACACTGACAGGGGGTCTCACCCCTCCCCCTCCATCCAACACTGACAGGGGGTCTCCCCCTCCCCCTCCATCCAGCACTGACAGGGGGTCTCACCCCTCCCCCTCCATCCAACACTGACAGGGGGTCTCACCCCTCCCCCTCCATCCAACACTGACAGGGGGTCTCCCCCTCCCCCTCCATCCAGCACTGACAGGGGGTCTCATCCTCCCCCTCCATCCAACACTGACAGGGGGTCTCACCCCTCCCCCTCCATCCAACACTGACAGGGGGTCTCCCCCTCCCCCTCCATCCAGCACTGTCAGGGGGTCTCACCCCTCCCCCTCCATCCAACACTGACAGGGGGTCTCCCCCTCCCCCTCCATCCAGCACTGACAGGGGGTCTCGCCCTTCCCCCTCCATCCATTGTTATGCTTTGTGTCCAGGTTAGCCCAGTTGGGTGTCCCCATTTCCCTGCTACCCAACAAGTCTAGACCTCCCCCATAGGTGCTCGCCTGTAGTCTGGCTTCTTTTCCAATATTTTATCAAAATCCGGATGTACAAACCTTCCATGAGATCCAAAGATGAAAATAAGAAACAATAAGTAACAAATGTTCGGCCATTTTCCAAATATATCTCCCAGGAGAACAAAAGTGAAAGCGCTACAATGTGACCAGAGGCCTCAATTCCCATCCATAGGCAGTCCGTTGGGGTAGAGCCCGGCCCAGCCCTGCAGCCTGATGTCTATGAAGCCCGGTGGGGTCATTACCCGCAAACCTGCAGGTTCATCTCGGTGAACAAAAGACTTTGTCCCAAGAACAGGCGATTGTGACCTGTCCTGGGTGCCGCTTGGCACGGGTCCTGAATTCTGTCCTGGGTGCCGCTTGGCACGGGTCCTGAATTCTGTCCTGGGTCCCGCCTGGCACGGGTCCTCCTGGCACGGTCCTGCCTGGCATGGGTCCCAAATTCTGTCCTGGGTGCCGCTTGGCACGGGTCCCGCCTTCTATCCAGGGTCCCTCCTGGCACGGGTCCTGAATTCTGTCCTGGGTGTCGCCTGGCACGGGTCCTCCTGGCACGGTTCCTCCTGGCATGGGTCCCGCCTGGCATGGGTCCCGCCTTCTGTCCTGGGTCCCGCCTGGAACGGTTCCTCCTGGCACGGTCCCGCCTGGCATGGGTCCCGCCTGGCATGGGTCCCGCCTTTTGTCCTGGGTCCCGCCTTCTTTCCTGGGTCCCGCCTGGCACGGTTCCTCCTGGCACGGTCTTGCCTGGCATGGGTCCTGCCTTCTGTCCCTGGGTCCCGCCTGGAACGGTTCCTCTTGGCACGGTCTTGCCTGGCATGGGTCCCGCCTTCTGTCCTGGGTCCCGCCTGGAACGGTTCCTCCTGGCACGGTCCTGCCTGGCATGGGTCCCGCCTTCTGTCCTGGGTGCCGCCTGGCACGGTTCCTCCTGGCACGGTCTTGCCTGGCATGGGTCCCGCCTTCTGTCCTGGGTCCCGCCTGGAACGGTTCCTCCTGGCACGGTCCTGCCTGGCATGGGTCCCGCCTTCTGTCCTGGGTCCCGCCTGGAACGGTTCCTCCTGGCACGGTCCTGCCTGGCATGGGTCCCGCCTTCTGTCCTGGGTCCCGCCTTCTGTCCTGGGTCCCGCCTTCTGTCCTGGGTCCCGCCTTCTGTCCTGGGTCCCGCCTGGCACGGGTCCATTCATTATATTGGCTCTTTGATTGGTGAGAGATGTATAGACCTTCCCTTGTGATGCCGATTCTGCATGAAATAGAATGAACTGAGTACATTCCGCTGTGAGGCTGCAGCAGACTAGTGAGGTCTTTATTCCATAAATCGAGACCCCGCCGGACCTCACAGACCAGAATTTTAGGGTTTTTCCCGTTCTCTTGGCTGAGGTGATATAATACCGGGTGGTGTGTAATGAGTCAACAGGGAGCCATCTAAAATTCACTTTTCTGTCATTTGTGATGAATATGGATGAACCGATATGGGGGGGCCCTTAATAAGACTTACCCTTAAAGTGGGTGTAACCCTCAGACATGAAATATGAACAAAGCACATCCCTCTGTAGTGTGTACTTGTCTCAGTCCAGAGCACTGAGTGTCATTTTTGTCTGCTGCTTCCTTCCTCTGTTATCAGCATGAGTCACTTCTGACACCAAGAGATAAATGGTGACAAGGAAGGGAGTTCCAGCACACAGCCTGTGATTGACAGCCCCAGTTCTGTTTCTGCGAGCTGTGTGGAGGGGGGTTTTTCTCTTCCCTCCAATCAGCTCTCAGAGCCTTCTTCACTAAACTCTGTAGAGTGTAACTTCAGCTCCCCACCCCCTTTTTTTCTGACAGCTCAGACAAGCTGTATAAATTCTGGACTTTGAATGGATGTAGTGATAAGAGAGTGGCAGATAAACAGGTACAACTTATGTAGGAGGATTTGTTTCATCTCCGTGTATCACCTGAGGCCGGCCCCTGCACTGGAGATATGGAGGGTTTACAACCACTTTAAGTAATTTGTTTATGTGGCTAAATCTATTAGCCTCTAATTACGTGTAGATTTATTTATTGGCCACTAGAGGCAGCAACATTCCGTTTGCATTCAGTCTGCCCCCCTTAACTAATGGTGAGATAAGAGATCAGCCACACGGGGAGGGCATTATTTTTAGTGAGGGGGTCACATCATAGAACTGTGGGAAAGAGCAGTAAAGCACAACCACCGTGTGACACCACAAAGAAGGAACCACAGTCTTTATATACAATGGCCCCATTTGCACAATGACGTCATTACGTCATAATTTGCACAATGACGTCATTACGTCATAATTTGCACAATGACGTCATTACGTCACAAAGCAGCTCATGCATCTTTTTTCTAAGTATTGAGCTTTCAACGCTTCATGGTGGTTGCATTTCCTTACAGAAGTTTAGGATTTCTTGTCCCAGTATCCAGAACCTCCAGAACCGTATTACTCTGATCCAAAATGGATGCGGTGATGAGGTCAACATGAAAGGGGTTTTCTACGTTCAGCAAGGGGTTCAGGAAAATCTTCCACTGTTGTCTCGTGTCCCTTTTTGGACCCCCCGGGGGGTGAGCTGCTCTGCAGCTGTATGAAGGAACCTCTGAACCTGCAGTGCAGGAGCTCGGCCTAATGGGTGGTGCAGATGATTATCTCCAGGCCCCACAAAGGAGCTGACTGGTGGGCCATAGTGTGGGGTGGCCCCGGTCATTCAGGTTTGGACCAGCAGTGCAGGGGGTGGCCCCGATCATTCAGGTTTGGACCAGCAGTGCAGGGGGTGGCCCCGATCATTCAGGTTTGGACCAGCAGTGCAGGGGGTGGCCCCGATCATTCAGGTTTGGACCAGCAGTGCAGGGGGTGGCCCCGATCATTCAGGTTTGGACCAGCAGTGCAGGGGGTGGCCCCGGTCATTCAGGTTTGGACCAGCAGTGCATGGGGTGGCCCCGGTCATTCAGGTTTGGACCAGCAGTGCATGGGGTGGCCCCGATCATTCAGGTTTGGACCAGCAGTGCAGGGGGTGGCCCCGGTCATTCAGGTTTGGACCAGCAGTGCAGGGGGTGGCCCCGATCATTCAGGTTTGGACCAGCAGTGCAGGGGGTGGCCCCGATCATTCAGGTTTGGACCAGCAGTGCAGGGGGTGGAAAGTCCCTTTAAGTGGTGATATCTCTTTCAATGTATTATGTTTTCAGACTTGTCTTTTTGTGGGTTTTAGGAAAGTCCAACACTGGATGTGGCAGATCAGGAGTTCCCAGAACTGCCATCTGTGCTGCAGGAGGTCCAGCAGATAACCTATAAGGAGTCCTCCAACCACCTCTTAGGTAAAGCATGGGCAATGCCGGCCATTTAACCTGAACTCCAGGCAAACCGCTACATACCCAGACAAAAACGCATATTCATGTCCATCCAATCCTGAGATTTACACAGCTCTGTCACACAGTACAGCCCCATCTAACTAGGGAGGAGACCTGCTTTTCCTGTGCTGCAGGCAGTAGCACTTACAGGTCTTGTCCCTCCCCCAGCCTATGACTGGACAGTGAAAGGAGAAGCTGGTGAGCTCATCCCTGTCACTCCGCTCTCTCCTCCTATCAGCATGCTCAGTGTTATCACACGAGCACTGCAGCACAACTAATTGACTCCTTATGCTGCCCCCCTTCATAGAACATTCTATAAATGATGATAGAGCCGTGTCAATGTGTCTTCATATCTGCCTGGAGTTCAGCTTTAAATGTCAATATTTTTTCCTGGACGGTTAAACTCTTCTAGACAGTGATATGTGTGTGTGGGGGGTCTAGTCCACGGCTCAGTCCACGGCTCAGTCCGCGGCTCAGTCCGCGGGTCAGTCCACGGCTCAGTCCACGGCTCAGTCCACGGGTCAGTCCGCGGCTCAGTCCACGGCTCAGTCCACGGGTCAGTCCACGGCTCAGTCCACGGCTCAGTCCATGGCTCAGTCCACGGCTCAGTCCGCGGCTCAGTCCGCGGCTCAGTCCATGGCTCAGTCCGCGGCTCAGTCCACGGCTCAGTCCGCGGCTCAGTCCATGGCTCAGTCCGCGGCTCAGTCCGCGGCTCAGTCCGCGGCTCAGTCCATGGTATAGGCTGTATAAATAAACACTTGATGGAGGATTCTTCCCCCTTCAGTGTGTGGGGTGCATGCTGGCCTAGAAAGCCTAGCACTAGTTCTGCATCTGTGGCAGCATAGTACAAGTCTGCACTCCCCCCACCTGGTCCCTTCCAAGGTATTCAGCCGTGTGTGTAATCTGATCTTCACGGCAGTAACATGGCTCTCTTAAACCTTGGATTGCCAGACTCACACTTGCCGCATGCTGGCCGCAAAACAGGAAATCTTGATGTGTAATATTTCATATTTATATAATACATCTGCTGGGGTGATCTATGGAAAGTCACTCTTCATTCCCTTTGAAGATAGAAATAAAGGATCTGCAAAACTTTCCACCTGATGCCTGTCGCCCTCATCCTTACCTATATGAACACAATGTGAGTGATGAAAGCCTAGCACTAGCTCTGCACTTCATGGCGGATCCGCACAGTGGAAGCCTACGCTGTGCTGTCTCTGCCCGGTAAGGAGGGGTGGAGGCGCTCCTGCAGGTTTCATCCGCCCGGCACCCTCATCCTTGCCTATATGAACACAATGTTAGTAATGAAGGAAGTGTGGAGACAGGAAAGCCTAGCACTAGCTCTGCACTTCATGGCGGACCCTGCACAGTGAAAGCCTACGCTGTGCTGTCTCTGCCCGGTGAAGAGGGGTGGAGGCGCGCTCCTGCAGTCTTCATCCGCCCGGCACCCTCATCCTTGCCTATATGAACACAATGTTAGTAATAAACGAAGTGCGGAGATTAGAAAGCCTAGCACTAGCTCTGCACTTCATGGCGGATCCGCACAGTGGAAGCCTACACTGTGCTGTCTCTGCCTGGTAAGGAGGGGTGGAGGCGCTCCTGCAGTCTTCATCCGCCCGGCACCCTCATCCTTGCCTATATGAACACAATGTTAGTAATAAACGAAGTGCGGAGATTGGAAAGCCTAGCACTAGCTCTGCACTTCATGGCGGATCCGCACAGTGGAAGCCTACGCTGTGCTGTCTCTGCCCGGTAAGGAGGGGTGGAGGCGCTCCTGCAGGTTTCATCCGCCCGGCACCCTCATCCTTACCTATATGAACACAATGTGAGTGATGAAAGCCTAGCACTAGCTCTGCACTTCATGCCGGATCCGCACAGTGGAAGCCTACGCTGTGCTGTCTCTGCCTGGTGTGGAGGAGGGGAGGTACGCCTGCAGTCTTCATCCGCCCGGCACCCTCATTCTTGCCTATTTTGTCCATAATGTTAGTAATGAACTAGGTGCTGAGACAGGAAAGCCTAGCACTAGCTCTGCACTTCATGGCGGACCCTGCACAGTGAAAGCCTACGCTGTGCTGTCTCTGCCCGGTGAAGAGGAGGGGGGGGTACGCCTGCAGTCTTCATCCGCCCGGCACCCTCATCCTTACCTATATGAACACAATGTGAGTGATGAAAGCCTAGCACTAGCTCTGCACTTCATGGCGGATCCACGCAGTGGAAGCCTACGCTGTGCTGTCTCTGCCCGGTAAGGAGGGGTGGAGGCGCTCCTGCAGGTTTCATCCGCCCGGCACCCTCATCCTTGCCTATATGAACACAATGTGAGTGATGAACTAGGTGCTGAGACAGGAAAGCCTAGCACTAGCTCTGCACTTCATGGCGGACCCTGCACAGTGAAAGCCTACACTGTGCTGTCTCTGCCCGGTGAAGAGGAGGGGAGGCGCTCCTGCAGGTTTCATCCGCCCGGCACCCTCATCCTTACCTATATGAACACAATGTGAGTGATGAAAGCCTAGCACTAGCTCTGCACTTCATGGTGGATCCTGCACAGTGGAAGCCTACACTGTGCTGTCTCTGCCTGGTGTGGAGGAGGGGGGGTTTCATCCGCCCGGCACCTTCATCCTTGCCTAGTCTGACCACAATGTGAGTACTAGATGAGGGGTTCTGGTCGATCGTTCTTCGTCATGTGACACCCGCGGACGAATCTTTGCCTGTTCTGTGATCTCCAGCTCACGACATTTTTCCTTCTTGACAGATGGCAGCTTTGAATGGGACGGCGAGATGCCTGTGAAACCTGTGAAAAGCTCCTTCGTCACCTCACTCTCACCAGCGATGCTGAATACGGAAGTGACCACCAGTACCCCGGAGCCCGTACCGCTGCCCGTCCAGAAGCCGGCGCTGCCCGTTCAACTCTCCAGGTTCAGCGTGTCTCCAACTGCCGTGTCCCGGTTCTCCATAACGCAGGTGGCGGACAATGCCGCGGGACCGCTGGAAGGTGAGAGACAACTCTACATGTTCTGGGGTTCTTATAGAACGGGGGTCTCCAAACTGTGACCTGTGGGCTGGGTGCCGCTCTTTGCCTGCCTTTATCCGGCCCTTGGGGCAATATTCCCCCCAATGATACGAGGAAGTGTTCTCCCCACTGACACCAATGATGGGGCACTAATCCCCCACTGACACCAATGATGGGACACCATTCCTCCCACTGACACCAATGATGGGGCACCATTCCTCCCACTGACACCAACGATGGGGCACTAATCCCCCACTGACACCAACGATGGGACACCATTCCTCCCACTGACACCAACGATGGGGCACCATTCCTCCCACTGACACCAACGATGGGGCACTATTCCCCCCACTGACACCAATGATGGGTTGCTATTCCTCCCACTGATACCAATGATGAGGCACTATTCCTCTCACTGACACCAATGATGGGGCGCTATTCCTCCCACTGACACCAATGATGGGGCGCTATTCCTCCCACTGACACCAATGATGGGGCACTATTCCTCCCACTGACACCAATGATGGGGCACTAATCCCCCACTGACACCAATGATGGGACACCATTCCTCCCACTGACACCAATGATGGGACACACCATTCCTCCCACTGACACCAATGATGGGGCACCATTCCTCCCACTGACACCAACGATGGGGCACTAATCCCCCACTGACACCAATGATGGGACACCATTCCTCCCACTGACACCAATGATGGGGCACCATTCCTCCCACTGACACCAACGATGGGGCACTATTCCCCCCACTGACACCAATGATGGGTTGCTATTCCTCCCACTGACACCAATGATGGGGCGCTATTCCTCCCACTGACACCAATGATGGGGCACTATTCCTCACACTGATACCAATGATGGGGCACTATTCCCCCCACTGACACCAATGATGGGGCACTATTTCCTCCCACTGACACCAATGATGGGGCACTATTCCTCCCACTGACACCAATGATGGAGCACTATTCCTCCCACTGACACCAATGATGGGGCACTATTCTTCCCACTGACACCAACGATGGGGCACTATTCTTCCCACTGACACCAATGATGGGGCACTGTTCCTCCACATAATACCAAATGTGATGTTTACTCCAACTGATGCCAGGAAAATTTCCACTCTCACTGGCCACAGTCCGGCCCCCCTAAAAAAACAACTGGCCCTTTGTTTTGAAAGTTTGGAGACCTCTGGTATAGAAGTTTAGGAACACCTATTGTGCCTGCTAGAGGATCCCCTTTCTAAGTCATTGTGTATTTTTCTTGTTAGCAGGAGGGTATGATATTAGAGACATCGGTGGATCTGGGTGTAGGGGCCCATTCATTCTAGATGTGGGTTGGGTGGGCCCTGGGACTCCATGCTGCTGTTGTGTAGACAGGAGGCAGTTGTAATGACTCCATAACGGCTCTCCTGGTTTCCATCATTTCCGGCATGCGGACTTGACATGTCAAGATGTTCTCTGCCTGACCATGGTGGAGAATGATGGACCATGAGAGAGCTGAGGGTGTCGGAGAGGCTGCTCTACACTGCATAGCTCAGCAGTTGTGGATACCTGACCGTCACATCTCTATGAATATGTTGAACATCCAGTTATAAAACCCTTGGGCAATAATATGGAGTTGCCCCCTTTTACGGCTATATCAGCCTTCACTCCTTTGGGAAGGCTTTGAAGGATGCCATATAAGATGAGAAGGTTTGGCTCACCATTGGGACTTTAATCCATCTCAAAGGTGTTCAGTAGGGTCAAGGTCAGTGAAGGACACTGGAGTTCCAACACCCATCAGACCTGTATGAGCTTGTTGGACGTCCCATTGCAAAACCATGGCCATTAATATGGGGTTGGACTTCCTTTGGGGTTATACCCTCCTCCACCCTTCTGGAAAAACTCTCCACAAGATTTTGGAGGGTGTCTGTAGGACTTTGTGTCCACTTGTGAGGTCAGGTACTGATGTTCGATGAGAAGACCTGCCTCACCATCAGAATTCCAATTCATCCCAAAGGTTTGTAGTAGGTTGAGGTCAGAATTCCCGATTCCTCCACTCTTCTACGAGGGATTTCCACTTGTTTGTGGAGTGTATCTCTGAGAACTTTCTAGGTTACGTGTTCAGTAGGGTTGAGGTCGGGGCTCTGTACAGGACACTGGAGTTCCTCCACACCAAACTGGTCATCCATGTCTTTATGGAGCTGGCTTTGTACACAGGGGACAGTCATGGGGGAACAGAAAAGGGTCTTCACCAAACTGGTCCTCCATGTCTTTATGGAGCTGGCTTTGTACACAGGGGACAGTCATGGGGGAACAGAAAAGGGTCTTCACCAAACTGTTACCACAAGGCTGGAGGAGCACAATTGTCTCCAATGTCTTTGTATGATGGAGGATTACCAGGACCCGTCACTGGGGACCCCTGAGCTCCAGCATTGGGGGGGTCCATGTACTTTAGGCCGTATAGTGTATAGAGATGGTCCGCACTCGTTGGGGTACAGACGGGGGCATCTTTTATCTTTGATGAACGCATTAAACCTAAAATCAAACATTTCTATATTGCAGCTTACCAATTCTTAGGCATTCCTTTTCCTTTTTAGGTTTTCTTTCTTTTGGCTTCAATGTGTTAGTATATCTAAATCTGCTAGTCCATCTAACACTCCCCTCCCCTCAAGACTGATAATGCTGCTGTCCAAAGGTGCCCCCCTGTGCTCCTTCCTCCAGAGTGGGGGCGCTCTAATACAGGAGGTGTGTTACTGGCCAGATCACCAGGTGAAAACAGAGGGGAAAAGAAAAGGAATGCAGCCGCTGCATCTAATGATCGGTAAGCTGCGATATACAGTCAGGTCCATAAATATTGGGACATCTACACAATTCTAACATTTTTGGCTCTATACACCACAATGGATTTGAAATGAAACGAACAAGATGTGCTTTAACTGCAGACTGTCAGCTTTAATTTGAGGGTATTTACATCCAAATCAGGTGAACGGTGTAGGAATGACAACAGTTTGTATATGTGCCTCCCACTTGTTAAGGGACCAAAAGTAATGGGACAGAATAATAACCATAAATCAAACTTTCACTTTTTAATACTTGGTTACAAATCCTTTGCAGTCAATGACAGCCTGAAGTGTGGAACGCATAGACATCCCCAGACGCTGGGTGTCATCCCTGGTGATGCTCTGCCAGGCCTTTACTACAACTGTCTTCAGGTCCTGCTTGTTCTTGGGGCATTTTCCCTTCAGTTTTGTCTTCAGCAAGTGAAATGCTCCATCGGATTCAGGTCAGGTGATTGGCCATTGCAGAACATTCCACTTCTTTGGTGTCTTTTGCAGTCTGCTTTGGGTCATTGTCCATCTGCACTGTGAAGCGTCCAATGAGTTGTGAAGCATTTGGCTGAATATGAGCCGATAATATTCCCGAAACACTTCACAATTCATCCGGCTGCTTCTGTCAGCAGTCACATCATCAATAAATACAAGAGAAGCAGTTCCATTGGCAGCCATACATGCCCACGCCATGACACTACCACCACCATGATCACTGATGAGGTGGTATGCTGAGGACCATGAGCAGTTCCTTCTCCATACTCTTCTCTTCCCATCACTCTGGTACAAGTTGATGTCGGTCTCCTCTGTCCATAGGATGTTGTTCCAGAACTGTGAAGGCTTTTTTACATGTCGTTTGGCAAACTCTAATCTGGCCTTCCTGTGTTTGAGGCTCAGCAATGGTTTCCATCTTGTGGTGAACCCTCTGTATTCACTCTGGTGAAGTCTTCTCTTGATTGGTGACTTTGACACACATACACCTACCTCCTGGAGAGTGTTCTTGATCCGGCCAACTGTTGTGAAGGGTGTTTTCTTCACCAGGGAAAGAATTCTTCGCTCATCCACCACAGTTGTTTTCCGTGGTCTTCCGGGTCTTTTGGTGTTGCTGAGCTCACCGGTGCGTTCCTTCTTTTTAAGAATGTTCCAAACAGTTGTTTTGGCCACGCCTCATGTTTTTGCTATCTCTCTGATGGGTTTGTTTTGTTTTTTCAGCCTAATGATGGCTTCACTGATAGTGACAGCTCTTTGGATCTCATCTTGAGAGTTGACAGCAACAGATTCCAAATGCAAATAGCACACTTGAAATGAACTCTGGACCTTTTATCTGCTCATTGTAATTGGGATAATGAGGGAATAACACACACCTGGCCATGGAACAGCTGAGAAGCCAATTGTCTTTTGGTCCATTAACAAGTGGAAGGCACATATGCAAACTGTTGTAATTCCTACACCGTTCACCTGATTTGGATGTAAATACCCTCAAATTAAAGATGACAGTCTGCAGTTAAAGCACATCTTGTTCGTTTCATTTCAAATCCATTGTGGTGTATAGAGCCAAAAATGTTAGAATTGTGTAGATGTCCCAATATTTATGGACCTGACTGTATTCTGATTTCCAGTTGAAAGGACAGTTTTAGGTGGAGTCACCCTTTAAGACTCGCCTGTGTTCCCTCTCACCCTCCATGTCAGAGAAGGAATGATCGGCGAGTCCTGCGGCTGAAGTCGGTCAGAATCTGTTTGTTTGCTGTGAGGAAGTGAGAGGAGACTCAGACTGGGCGCGGCTGCGTTTTTGTGGTTTTTACGTTTGCAGAAAACAGACTCGCCAGCAGCTCACGCGGAGCGACTGCATCACTGCGGGAGGGGGAGCGGCTCCTCGCCGACGCATCACATGGGGGCCCTACAAACATTCATATCGTGTGAAACTGGAAAAGACACATTTCATGGCATGGCGGCCTTATTATTGTTATCTGCAGCATTGGAGCCGGCCTGGATTCATCAGAATGGGGCCCCCTAGTGCCGCGGAGGAGCCGCTGCAAACTCTGCCTTTCTTCTATAATGCCTGAATTGGATTATCATTCTGTCACAAGTATGACGGCAGCCACACTTCCCAAACAAATCCAGGAACTTTCATATCTCCAGGTCTTCTCAAAAGTACAT